AAATTCAAACTTACAGAAAACTGCATTAACCCACTCCTAGCTTTAATAATATTTACAAGATAATAAATTTTGGTAGAGAGCTCCCGATACAACATCATTATCTCTTTAGTAGCCGGAGATGGAGCAGTTTGCAGACAGAAACGTTGGCTCTTCTAACACTTTTTGCAATATAAATTCAAACTGATACTTCTCGTTAGTGGACCTACTGCAGAAAGGAGAAAGCAGGAGGCGAAAGGATGCACGCTGAGATAGATAACACCAGCAGCGGTTTCCCCCATTTGCCGCCTTTCAAAGTAACGCAGTTCAGGAAGAAAAATAAAAATAAAAATAAAAAAAAAACTGTAGACGATTTTGGATCAGAAAACACAAAAAGGCCGACCTCTTCTGATATTTAATATGTCTAAGAGCTTAAAACATCAGTGAACGTTGATATGTCATGAAGAAATTGTCGAGCAGCTGTTATTGTCTGTAAAAAAGAAGTGTCTTCAAAGGATTAAAAATCTCGATTTGGCAGAGATTGAAAGGTAGGGAAGATGGCCAAATGTGATTCTTTACAAGACATTTGTTTGTCACTTTAAATTCCTCCTGTTTTCCTGTCTCCCTCTCTTTATCGATGGTTTTCTTTGCTTACTTAACCACTTGATTAATAACTTTAAGGCATGTTATACTTTAGAGGAAAGGTCTTATTCCGCTCGAAAATCTTAACCATTTCTAGTGCCGAATATCAAATTATTTTTAGTACTCTAACATAAATCGAATTTGTAAATGTGGAAACCTTCAACAGTTCTTCCCCCTGTAAAGTCAACAAATATATATATAAAAAAAAAATTCCATTTATTTATTCAAAAAGTACAGCTTAAAAAGTTACATTTTTAAATTATTTTAATAGAAAGTAATTGATTAAAATTCAATTTTAACAATTAAAAAATAGAATTTATTCGTTTACTTAATAATATAAAATATAAATAATAAGCTTGAAGATATATGTTAACTTTTAAAGAATTTACATAAAGGCCTTAATATATTTAATTTAAAATATATATGTTTATAGCCAATATAAAGAATACAAATTTGTATTTATTAACATTAATGCTGATAGCTCTAAGCACGTGAGGAACATGCCTAGGGGCCCGGGTCTCAAGGGCATTGAAATTGGAAAAATAAGGCTATACAACTACAACGGTAAAATTGCTTTATCATAATTTATAGGTAATTTTATAGTATTTACTTGTATTTTAATCGGGGTTTTACCGTTAATTAGGGGAAGGAAATCTTTTCTCGAAAGACTATTCCTATTGTAATGGAAAATAGTTACAATTAGACGTTATTAGTTTATGATGTAAAATAATATGAGGGGCCCCAATCTTATGTTACTATGGGTCTAGATGATCTTAATCTACCGCTACAGATTTTTTAGAAGAAATTTATACCCATTATTACTGAGCCGTGGAGAGCGATTAAGGGTTTCATTCTAGGCTTTCCGGGCCTTCTCTATTTATACTTTACGACGTAACTCTCTCTATTATCATATTTTCTCCTTCTTTATGCATTTGATATTACATAAATTTATTTTAGAGACTCAAATTTCATTATGTATATTCCGGCTGGGTCCCAATATAAAGCTACTTTTCCGGCTTCCCTCCCTCTCATCTGTCTTGCCTATATAGGCGTATATAGGCTAATTATAGATTTATATAACAAACTGTACATCATAAGAGGAATGTTAGACTCTATATAACGTCATTTCTTACTTCAAGTAAAAAGTAAGGAAGAGATATAGGATAAAATCGAGTAGAGATGCCCTCCGTGAAAACAAATGCCCATTATTTTAAAATATAATTTTTAAGTGCGTGCAGAAAAATGTTTTGGAAGTATTGGAAGTATTCACGTTGGCAGACATTTCTTTCCAGTAAACATATCATCGCTGACTTACCGCATATCATATACATTTACTTATTTGTGAATTAAATTCTACTCGTGATTCACTCGCAATTTAATAAATAAATGTATTATTTTATTTTTTTTATNGGAAGTATTGGAAGTATTCACGTTGGCAGACATTTCTTTCCAGTAAACATATCATCGCTGACTTACCGCATATCATATACATTTACTTATTTGTGAATTAAATTCTACTCGTGATTCACTCGCAATTTAATAAATAAATGTATTATTTTATTTTTTTTATAATTTAAACTTTTATTTAAATTTACGTTTTCCTTTATATAGGCCTATTTTTCACAATTTTCGATTTTATCATTGTCTATCCTGTTTTATAAAGTAGCAAAACAATGGGAAATTAATTCTGAGAATCAATTGTGAATAAAGTAATAAAATTGGAAGAAATATTGCTGGAAATTTTGTGTTGTTTCAGAATATTTTACAAGGAAATCGTTATAAAAATTTATTTAATAAATAAAATATATTTACACAGTAAAATTTTGATATATCACCTTCCTAATTAGCTCTAATGGATACTCATGAAAGGATCTTCCTCCTGAGTGTTAGAGAATCAATCCTTCAGGAGCTTTCTTGAGCCACCAGTGATCAGCGGATTAAACGATTTCACATCCGACCAACGGGTTGGGCAAGTGGAATTTTCAGGATTTTTTACGTGTCTAATCTAAATAGGGACAAGTTTCCCCATAGGCAACCCCTTGACAGATCGCCCAATTGTTTCGTTGCCTCATTCCATTAATCCAATCCTTCAGGATCTCTGAAGTACTAAATACACAGTTTTGTAGTCAAAATCACATTATTAACGCGACTTGAAATTCTTACTGTTTGAGGGACTTCAGTTTAGCGCCACATTCGATTTAGCGCCAATTTCAGAAAAGAGGCACTCTAAATCGAATTGACTGTATGTTAATTTCTTTATATAGCAGAATAACTCCAATGTCTTGTACGTAGAAATACATATTTTAACATTATAATTCTATTTATGCGCATAAAAATAGCTCATTAAGAAAATTCTATGATTAAAATTGATAAAATTACACTTAAAATTTGTTAAATAATTACTAATAACGCATTAGAAAGGCTTTTAAACATGTTATCTCGCTATTTTTCTTGTTTAAAATTAGGTTAATAACTTCAAAAATCTTTAAAAAAATTCTTTTTAAATAACGTTTTAAATTATTATTGATAACACGTCTTACATTTATTAATTACACTCTTTAGTATTTATATATATTCATCAATTTACGCTTAAGTAATAATACTTAAGTGAATTTATCTATCAAGTTAAACGTCCTTAAAAACGAGTCTATGAATTTGTATCGGGTTTATTTTTCCTCACAAATCACTTTAGTAGAATATTAATGGGAAAAAATGCAAATTATCATCACGCAAATTCCTTATCTTTATTATAATTTTTCCCTTATGTATAAAAAGAATGTTTTTTCCTTATATATAAAAAGATATTTTTGCATTATGTAAGCTAAATTTAAATTCCTTTTTTTTTTTTAACAAATTATTTAACAAATGTATAACAAATAATGGAATAAATTTACCAAAGGATTATATATATATTTATTTAAACAATATTTGTCATTTATAGTTTCTTTCGTCATATATTCCCGTTTTCTAATCTTTCTTTACGACAAAATCCTACAAGACTTTATATATCGTTTATCCTATATACACGCTTTTAGCGTTGAAGTTGTAAATTTTTCGCTACTAGCAACTTTTCTCTCTTAACTTATCCCAAAAGATTTCCATTTCAAAATCTATTTTGACAAGCCACCGTTTATTTTTCTCTTTGCCATCATCACTCTTGCCAAAGAATTCTCTTGACCCAGGCGGCGCTGCAATCGAAATTGAAATGAAATTTAAAAATTTATCTACAAAAATTCCTGTAAAATATCCCTANTTAATAACTTCAAAAATCTTTAAAAAAATTCTTTTTAAATAACGTTTTAAATTATTATTGATAACACGTCTTACATTTATTAATTACACTCTTTAGTATTTATATATATTCATCAATTTACGCTTAAGTAATAATACTTAAGTGAATTTATCTATCAAGTTAAACGTCCTTAAAAACGAGTCTATGAATTTGTATCGGGTTTATTTTTCCTCACAAATCACTTTAGTAGAATATTAATGGGAAAAAATGCAAATTATCATCACGCAAATTCCTTATCTTTATTATAATTTTTCCCTTATGTATAAAAAGAATGTTTTTTCCTTATATATAAAAAGATATTTTTGCATTATGTAAGCTAAATTTAAATTCCTTTTTTTTTTTTAACAAATTATTTAACAAATGTATAACAAATAATGGAATAAATTTACCAAAGGATTATATATATATTTATTTAAACAATATTTGTCATTTATAGTTTCTTTCGTCATATATTCCCGTTTTCTAATCTTTCTTTACGACAAAATCCTACAAGACTTTATATATCGTTTATCCTATATACACGCTTTTAGCGTTGAAGTTGTAAATTTTTCGCTACTAGCAACTTTTCTCTCTTAACTTATCCCAAAAGATTTCCATTTCAAAATCTATTTTGACAAGCCACCGTTTATTTTTCTCTTTGCCATCATCACTCTTGCCAAAGAATTCTCTTGACCCAGGCGGCGCTGCAATCGAAATTGAAATGAAATTTAAAAATTTATCTACAAAAATTCCTGTAAAATATCCCTACTTATAATAATTTCTTTTAATAAAAAAAATAATAATAAAATTATCATTTTCTTTTATTAAAATAATTATTACTTTTAAATTTAAAATAATAAATTTCTCTTATAGAATTTTTATTTTCGTTTTATAATATTTAATAAAAACAAAATTAATTTTGAATTGTGATTATTATTAATTAATTAATTAATATTCAATTTTAATGGAAAGAAATATATAAACGATTTCCATTAAATTATTATTATATTTCCGTTCGATTTCCTCGTTTGATTATATTTACTCCATCGAGGGAAATATCCCTAAAAAAAAAAAAAAATTCCCGAAACAACTCTCCACACGTCGATCGTGATGCCCTCTGTAAACAACCGGTTTGAGAGAAGAAAATGGCGGAGACGTTTAGCTTGGAGTCTGTGAAAGAATTTATCATAGAAAAAGGCGGAAAAGTGATAAGTCACGAAATTGTTAAACATTTTAAAGTATTCTTAAACGATAAAAACAGGCAAAGTAAGCTTATTATCGATATTTATTTGATTTTAATCAGTTACATTAAGCTCATGTTAAATGAATGAATCAAGGAAAAAATATTTTCTTATGTTAATAAAATTAAGGTTTAATTAATTATAAACAGTTTTAAACTGTCTTTATAAACTACTTTAATTAAATTCAGTAATTTATCTCAAAAAGTTTCCTTTAATGAAATATATTATCACAATTAGCAGTTAATGAATGTTATAACAAGTTTATTCTGTTATAAATATACTCTCACCAGTTATTTTTTATTTATTTATTTATTCATGAAGGTTACATTCTTAAAACTTGTAATGGCAGTTTCACACCAACACAACAGGATTTAGGCTTGTAATTTATAAAGTTGTCCACCTTAAAAGTCTACTTTTATTTACATTCTTTTGACAAGATACATAAGCCGCAGATTTTTTTATATTCAGATTCAGAGTCGTACGAAGTTGATGAGGTTTTTGTAATAATTTATTGCGTTGCATTTCGTATTACGGAATTGGCTTCGTAGTTTCCTACAGATTGTTGAATTCGTATTGCATTTCTACTGTAAAAACTGTTCAGAAAACTCCAGTGCATTCAGCTTTTGTTCTGCTGTTGGGAGTCAATAAGTTGATGCTTCTGACAGGTATAAAGATGGTGTGTTTGAATTTTCTAGTTTCAGTATGTTATAAATAATTTGTGTGTTTAAGTTATTTTAATATGCATTGTTGGTTTGACTGGGCTCACAATGGAGGCGAGTGGGTGGTGAGAGATGGGCTTGACGTATCTGGGACAGACTACACAAAAAAAATTCCTTGGGTTTGTTGCACCACCTGGATTTGATCTCGGGTCCCTCAGATTGGTAGGCTGATTCCTTATTGGTCTGGCCATAACAATTTCGAAACAAATTATATCTGTTTAAGTAACTAAAATTCTATCAGTTATGGAAGTTTTATCAAATTGAAAACAAAATATTTATTTTTTGTTAATTAATTAAAATGAAAAATTTAATTTATATCTTGTTAAATTCTGTTTTAAATCTGCTTTGGAATAAACTTGATTCCAATAAAATATTGTAATAATTCAGAATTTCAACTATTAATCTAAAATATATTGTTTACGGTTGAAATAAATTATTTGATAAATGAAGCCTTACAATTATTTGTTCTTGTGTAATATAAACAAGATGAAAAATATTCCTTAAGATATTCTAATTCTAAACATATTTAATTAATTAAAATAATTTATTTAAGTTAGATTATTATTTTTATTTTGTGAAACATAAAAAATATTAATTATTTTTGTTTCAACTTCTATGAAATAAAATTAACTGATCAGGTTTAATTATTTTACTTACTTATAAATATTACTGTATTAAAAAGTCTATGTTTTTATATATAACAATTAAAATTTTCTGTACTGTTTTGCTGTGAAGTATTCTCTATGTTAAAGCTTAACATCCAAGTTTATATTTACTGACAAGTGAGAGGAGTAATTATCATCTTATGTCTTAAATTAATATCTGGATGAAATTTTATATACATATTTTTATACATTCAAATTAATATTTGCAGTATTCTAAGTCATTATTTTAAATTTTTTACTTTTGACTTAAAATGTTTTTTATGATATTAATTTTTTTTAATTCTGTAAAAAAAAGAGAATTTCCAAAATTTTAATATGTAGTACTTATATAGTGACATAAAACAGATATCATGTAAATGTAAATGAAAAGCTTGTTTTATGCCACTAGATTGTATATGAATAAACATGTATTAAGTTTAAAAAAAATGAATCTTACATAATGAATCTTTGTAAGTACATATGTTAATCTGTATGTTTATATATATCTAAACAAGTCAATGATGATTTTGAACATTTGCTTGTAAATGTTTTCTTTAGAGAAAGATAATATTGCTAAAATTTGTTATAAATTATGTAGTTATTACAGTCAAGTATTGGAAAAATAACATATTGTATGTATAATAAATTATTGGAATTTGCAATGTAGGTCTATTAGGTAAAACTTTATAAATTAAAATTCAACATAAGGTGTGTTTTCATGTGCCAACCAGTTTCTTTATTAATCAAAACAATTTGTTATAGCATTTGTGTGTCCTCTTGTCTTATACTTTTGTCAACTTTAACAGAAACAACTCATTGAGTGGTTTAACGTGTCAGTCCAAGAAACTAATAAGTTATTGATAATGCAGTTTGCTAACAGATAAACAAAGCATTCTTCAAAAAACAGTAGAAACTGGAATGGATGACACAAAATATAACCAATCAATGTTTTGTTAGCTATACAAAAATGCAAAGATAGAGAACATGTATTAAAAATTTCAATTTTTTTTTAAAGTTTAGAGATAATATATAAGCAATTAACCTCTGTAAACAACCGGTTTGAGAGAAGAAAATGGCGGAGACGTTTAGCTTGGAGTCTGTGAAAGAATTTATCATAGAAAAAGGCGGAAAAGTGATAAGTCACGAAATTGTTAAACATTTTAANTAATTGTGATAGACGGCCTGGACACAATCTAAAACTCTGTCGTCGGTGTCGAGTATGGCAAACGTCCCGAGAAACCAATGATGGTAGCTCCTGACGGCCGGTAGGGCCTTGTGTGACTGCCTAAGCTGATTGACAGCTTTACGCCATGGTTACCATGGTGATGTGTGCCGTGGCCACGCCTACGGTTTCGGATGAGTGACACCAGACTTTCCACGCCCCCCTCCGAGGCGATTGTTGACCGTTTACACTAAGAAAACGCAAATTGACACACACACAACAGAAGGGTTGCTTCTATAGTCTCTCCCTTTTGTTAAAAGTCTTTGATCGATCGGTGATTACTTAAAAACTGATCGATCGATCGATCGATTGATCTCTAATTACAAAAAAATGATAATTAAATAGAGTTACTCTGGCCGTTTTAAGGAGGTTATTGAACGTGTTTTTTTTTTCTTTTTTAAATTTGAAGTGTGGAATAATGAACTGAACTGACCACTTAGTGAAATAGTGTGTTCTCTTTTCGGGGGAAGATTATATCTGGTTTCTTGTAAAACACAAGTTTTACAATCTTAAAAACGTGTTAGATCTTATGATACGTCTCTTAAGAAAATATATTAAAAAAGTTTTTTGGAAATTATACATTTGTCAAGCTGTGTAACGCCATTAAGAGGCACGCCCATTTTCGTATATTTAAACCCTCTTAAATTACTCTTCTTCGATTTTATATTATGTAAATCTTATCTGGAGACTCGTCGGAATTAAAAACTTGTTAAATAACAGCCTTATCTAATCGTCTTTAATTATTATAAGGGCACAGACACGCGTAATGTTTATTCAAATTAACTTAAATAAGGCTCCGAATAAAATAAAAAGAAATAATTGAACGATATTCGATACGAGTCGAGAGAATTCGAGCTGATGTAGAGACTGTGATGTTTTTAAAGTGATGAGATAAATGTTGAGAAACATTGATGAAACGTCCGTTTGTGTGTCCTAATCTTACTTATATATGTTTAGAAATGCGTGAAGTATTTTGATGTAGATTCGGGAAATTTTATTAAGTTTGAATCAACTGAATTGAATCCCTCTTATTAATAAGGACTTGGGATTAATAAAGGTTGTGAATCTCTTTGATCAAGGATTAACGACGATTAAGGCTTGATAAAGGCTCCGAATCGCTTTAATTCAGGCTTAGTAAAGGCTCTGAATCGCTTTGATTCAGAATTAATACAACTTTTTTTGAATCAGGCTTAATAAAGGCTCCGAGTTTCTTTGATTCGGATCCTTTATTAATCCTAAACCAAGACAATTCTTTGAATCAGTCTTTTATTAACTCAGAATAATGAATTATCTCGTTTCAGGATTAATAAAGAACCTTGCATATAGAATTGTCATAATCCAAAATTAATAAAATACGTCCGATTAAAAAAAATTCCTATTTAATTTTAATTTATTTTATTTAAATAATGAAATCTTATAAAGGTTATATTTTACAGTTTTAATTTTGAAACTGTGTAATATGATTTCAAAACTAAAAAAAAAAAAGTTCTGTTCATTGGTTTTTGATACAATTTTGAATTCAGTTTTAGTTGATTTTATCATAAGAACTTCCAATAAAGTATTTACAGCTAAAACATTAAATCTCTCATGACTTCAGATACAAGTTACATTAATCTTAAATGCTTCAATTACATTTACTAAAAACATTTACGAATAATACATAATCAATTTTTGGTTAATTTTCAAAATATAATAAACTTTGTGAACTTTAAATGTGAATTGTAATATTATGAAAAAACTTCTTATTGCTCATAAGTATGATATTTAATACCTCAGTATTAAAAGTAAAAATTTTTAAGAGTCAAATTAATACTGTAAAAGTTTATTAATAAAGAACTTTCAATAAGATCATTTTATTATTTTCAAAAAAATAAAAATAATATATATAAAATTAT